AAGAGAAAGATTATTTGGTTTGATTTTCTCATCTGTAGATGAGAAAACTAAAGCACAGAGAAGGAAATCTATTTGTGCATGACAAATTTTAATGTAATTGTAGCCCACTAAGGTTTTGTGTTATTCATTGTATTATAAATTATTAGCAAATTGAAAATAAAACCTAGGAATTAAAATGTATCGGTTTGACTTTTCTTGACTAACCTTCAAGGTGCATTACATCTTGTAAGTGGGCCTTCTTCAATCATGCCTATCTAAAGCTATTTTCTGTACAGGACATTTTAATTACTATTATAGTAGTAATGATTTTTTGGAAAATGTTTTTCATAGGCGCACAAGGTGAATTGATCATAACAATGCAATTTTAAATATAAATCAATAAAATTAATTCATTTGATTTTAACACACTAGGAATTTAAGGTACTAGAATAAAGAAATGAGTATTTTCATTGGTATTTAGAATGTCCTCTGCCTGACTTTATGAGCAATAATTATTTTTTCTTTTGCAGCCCTACTTTTGATGGGTTAAAGGACAGAAATCTCAGGACACTAAACCCGTGGATGTTCAGCATCTGCATTGTCTTGCTAGATTTCTCCTTCAAGTTCTTTTCCTCAATCTAGCATTACCTCATGTAATACAGTACGAAAAGTTGTCCCACAAGGCTGGTTTTACTTAGTGATACTTAGCAGAAAGACTTTGCACTTTCACGATAATGTCCAACAGAAAAATCTCTCTGGAACTTACTAATAATAATCAGGCCTAATATTAGCCTCAGACTGGAGATTTATTAAATCTATTTGGCAGAGTAAAGTTGCATGGTTAGGTATTCAAGCAACTAGGATGAGCTTCAGCCCTGGAAAGTCTCTCTGGCCAGCACCCTAAAAGCAACTCCTCCACTTGTGACTTACAGGAGCAGTGACATTTCTTGCTCTCCCGAGTCTGCGGTTACAAGTCTTGCATTTATTTCTTTCCATAGCGTTTGGAGGCTACCAGAAGCTCAGCATTCATCTTTGACCGTGAGTTAAGGGCAACGCTTTGTCCCCGAAGTTTTCTTTAACTTTGAAAATAAGGATGGTGATCCCTTTATCACCAGCAATTGACAAGTACGCGTGAAATGCCTACTAAGCTCTCGGTTTATACTCGGCGGCGGGGTGGGGGGAAGAAGGGGTGTGCAGGCAGTAGAACGGTGGAGACTACTACTTCCCTTGCTGTCTTCTTTCCCTCTCAGAGTAAACTTCCATTAAGGTTCATGAATCTCCAACATCGTGAATTGAAACAAAAACACCTCTCGTGAGTCGAGTGTGTGTGAAGCCCGATTCTCCCCAAACAGGAAGAGCCCCACTGCTTAGAAAGAGGGGAAGTTTCCTAGGGGTCTCGGGTCTCTGCGAGGGGAGGCCGTCCCCGAGGGGCGCCAGCCCACAGGGTCCCCGCGCGCCGACGAGG